ATATGTTCATCTTGTTCCAAGTTGTTCAAAAATGTTTTCTAAATTCTCGTCTCAAATTAAGGATTTTGCTGCGATGATTGTGGTTACACAAATTGTGAATCTCTCTCAGACTCTGCAAATGTTGACATGTGGCAAATTTTATAATAGGTTTCTCATTATCTTTTTTTTGTTTTCCTCTAGAAATTCTGAGTTAGTTGAACTGTAATGACTGATACTATGAGTTTAGTTTAACCTCAAGGCAGATTACTTTTACTTAAATGTAATACCTTTAGCATTAAGCCAGAAACAATAGACTGAGCTCTTGCTTAAGGGCATACTCAGGGCTATAATTGGCTAGCAACTACTTGCTTTAATTTTCTACAGAATCAATGGGCTCCTCCTTTTATTTTGACTTAAAAATGATCTATTTTGACTGCTGCAAAAGTAATTGCAGGTTCTATCATTACTTTTGATGGTCAAAACCGCGATTACTTTTGCACCAACCGAAATAGATGATTTTTGAACGATTATATTTACTAGGATAAGATATTAATAGAAATTGTCATATTCTACTTTAAATTCCACCTAGGTCTTCTAGGATTGCAGAAAACTAAGAAAGTCATTTTCTGGGTTGAGAATGTTCCTAACTCATGACGGTAAGGATATTAAATATGAATAAAATCTGGTTGAGTAAGTTTCTCAGAAGTGATCATGCCTCTAGTAATCTATTAAGTTTTATCATTTCATCCCTGGGATGCTTGTAGGAGGTCAGAATTTATTTTATTTTATTTTACTTATTTTATTTGATTACTGATTCTTCATTCTCTTTATCAGGAGGTATTTCAGAAGGAGCAGTTTCTACAGGTACTGAATATGAAAGCAATTGATGCTTAATTGAAGGTATAACTTTGAGTGATCCTTGACTCCTGGCTGAGAAAGGCCCAGAAAAACTCAAGTTCACCACTGTGATGGGAGCTCCTGCTTCCACAAGGCAGAGAATCAGCATTTCCATTTGTTGATGTAGATACTACATTATTGTTATTACTATTAAGACATGGAATGGCCCTAAATTATTAATTCAGCTAGTGTTTCTTTCCTCTTCTGAACTTTTGGTTTTTTATTAACAGAAGTTGAAAGAAAGAGACTAAATGAGAATTTCAGTTGATTTTAGAAATCAGTTTAAGTGGTTGAATTTGATCTCTGATTTTTCTTGGGTGTCTTATATTTCCTTGTTCAAAATTCACATGAACATTTTGTTGATTCTTGAAACTATTTAATATGAAAGAAGAAGTTATAAATGTGAGAATAATCAAATTATGTTCTCATTTTTTCCTCAGGTAAGGTATCTTACCTAAATTAAAAATTAAAAGCGTATTTACTTTTTTCTTCTTGGTGTATTGATACAAATTCTCAGTGATGTATAAATGAGCCAAACATGGCCAGTGTGCCCTGGTCCCTATGCTGTTTATTTCTAAACTGCAGGCTTATTTCTTTATGGCCTGTGCCAAATTCAAATTTTCCATCCAGTCATTTCAAAAACAGTCCAAACAATTAGCTTTTTAGCCATTCGGAGAATATTTACACTATATATTTCAGAAAAGCTCATCTACATATAAAAGTAATTGATGCTCCCCCAGTTAGGAAAACCCCCATCCACTTCTGCCCTGGGAGCTCTCTAACCCAGAGACTCCCCACTGTGCAGCTGTGTGACATCCCCTAGACACAAAAGCCCCTTCTCCAGTAAATGCCCATCTCCACCTTCTGAGAAGCAGCCCAGGCACTTTAGCCTCTGGCCAGACACCTGCTGTGAGGGACTTTTCCCTGTAAACCCATCAGAGTTTCACCCAATAAAAGTCACCTGTGCTACTGCCCTGCTGCGGACTTCTTCTTTTTCTTGACCAGAATCCAAACTAGCCAAAGCCCCCTCAAACAGGAAGACACTTTCCACCCCACAAACACTGACTCCAGCATAATGGACACAACAATTCTACTTCCAACACTGTTTTGACAAGTCTTAAAAATAATACTCTTGATTCCAATTTTATGGACCCCCAAATAACAGCATCAGGAAAATGGGATGCAATTACAATAAGCCCCACCTGTATCAGTCACTCCTCATTCAGGTGACCATGGTCCAGATCAGAGACAGAGGCCTGCTCCCCAGCTAGATCCGAATGGAGGCTGTTCTTACACCTTCTAATCTGTGTCCACTGTGGAACAACCAGCTTAACTCTCTTATCGAATAAGTCTTGGGATAACGTGTTAACATACAGAGAGACAAATTTCTGTTCTGAATTAGGAATATTATTCTTCAAGTTAATATAGGATAATTTCAAAGCCTCTTTATGCTAAAAAAAGAGTGTTTACAACATTTTACATTTTACAGATATGTAAGGCAATAGATTGTGTGACAAAATAATGAATCACAGTGATAGAGTTTTTAGTGATGTATCATTTTCATTGAATATTGCAATACTGTCTTAAATTCAAGCATCTTAAAGAATGCTTTGTAAAAATAGCATTTTAAAGAACCGACTTTGTATAAAACAAAACATGACACATTTTTATTGTTATTCATTTTCCCGTAAATCAAATGTTTATATTAAATAATAAATAGAACTGATTCTTCATTGAACACCTTTTCAGAGTAATCCTTCAAAACTAGCAAAAAGATGGACTATGGTATAAGAGTCGTTACATTTTGTATGTTTTTTTCTTTCCACTTCTTGTGTTTCTGACTCTTTTTACTGTTGCGATTAATTAGGAGACTGATATTTGTAAGACCAGGAACCAGATTAGAATTGGTCAACATGATAATAAAAAGTCAAATACACAAATTTATAAAATGTGAAAAAATTAAATAGTTCTACATGAGACATTTATTCTAATTCTGCCTCTTAGCTACAGTGTGACATCACTGACCCAGATTATTACCAAGGAGGTCACGAAATAAAGGTCAGTATCATTTTTACTCAATTATCTTTTTCAACCTTGCACATAAATATTATTTGGCACATTTCTCAGAAGATATTCAGACCAAGATTTCTTTTGGAATCTTACCTAGAAAGGCATTTGTTTGTTCATGTTCTTTGGCAATATGACTTGTGTTAAATTACCTAAGACTACATAGTAATATAAAGCAATTTTTTAATTGTTTACCTGCCCCCACTTTTTTTTCTGAACTATGTCTATCGTTGTGAAGGGATTTGATGTAGGTACCACTTTTCAGGAACAGTTCAACAAAATGTTAGGCACCTCTCTGAAAAATGAAGAATAGTTCAGTTGTTTCCCTATTGGCATTACTGAGCTGTGATCATTTTCACATGGAAGCCCAGGAAAATGGCAGTTAGAGGTAAATTTTATGCTAAGACATAAAACTGTGGATCCAGTTCTTGCTCTTCTTACACAGAGTATCTCCATTTGAACTGCGGGCTCAGGGCTACAGCTGCACCACATCCAGGCTGGGGGAGACTCAGGATTCACTCAGAGTTGACAAGAAACTGGAAGCCCTGACAGGACCCGATTCCTCATGACCAGGGAGATTGTGTGGGAAGAGTTTCCCTGAACAGCACTCAAAAAAACATAATGCAAAGTTATTTCTTGCTTGGTCTGTATTATTATCGTAGGGAATTCTTCTGTTAATAAATCTCTCTGGTTAATCTCACATATGTGAGATAATTATGATGAGACATATACCAGATTGCTATAATTGGTCACCATCAATTTTTCATTCCCTGCCTGAGGCATGGAATTCTTTCCTCTTACTTAAGTTGCACTGTGTGCCTTCTAAGGGCAAGAGACACATATCATCCTCCAGGTAAAGGCCTTCGAGAGAGCACTCTTATGTAGATAAATCACCAGGTACCAGGGGAAGGCAGATTCTAACATTTGCATTTAACGTTTTTGAACAGTTATCCTAATAACAGCAGATTCCAGATAACTCTTGAGCTGACGGAAGTCTCCCTTTTTATCTGCAAGCACACTGCCCTGCAGTGCTGGTGAGAAAGCAAGCTCTTTCCTTCTCTACGTGAGCTGGGCGAGAGCCAAGCAGGATGGCATTCACCTCCCAGAGATTCATCCTAAACACACATTTTTACATTGTCATGATCTTGGTGCTCTCTCAGAGTGGTTACACCTATGTGTCTTTGTTCATGATCCAAATTTCACAGTTAGATCATTCCACGACTATAGGCAAAATGGACTTTAGCTCTATGTGCTTTTCTCCAAGGCACATTTTATATCACATTGCTCACAAGAAAGACCTGCTCCAACCACTGGCTCTTTCCACATCACTACACCCACCAGAGGATTTGCATATTGTTTCCTGGGGAGAACCTTCCCTTGCAGTGAGATAAAAGCTCAGCTCTAACTTTGCAGTGACAGATCAGAACTGCTCAGTTCACCTTCTCAAGATGAGGTTCCCTGCGCAGCTCCTGGGACTGTTAATGCTCTGGGTACCTGGTAAGGACAGAAGGAGAGAAGGGAGGAGAATGGGGTGAGAGGGTGAGCTCCGAGGGCTCCGAAGTCTCCCATGTTTATTCTAACCATATGTTAAGGAATACGTTCTAACTTTCAGGGAAGGGAATTTATACTTTTTCCTATGAATAATTAGAAATCATCTCAAAAAAGAATGACTAATGCTCTAAGATCTTAGAAAACAAAAAATTCCTTGTGCTTATTTTCGTATATTTTAGAAAGTCTATTATTTATGGTATGAATAAAAATTTGAAAAAAGATTAATTGTAAATTAATATCATAAGAAAATTCATGAAAGTTGCTCATGATATTTGTACCTAATCTTGCACTTCTTTCTCATTGTTTTAGAATCCATTGGGGATATTGTGATGACCCAGACTCCACTCTCTCTGCCAGTCACCCCTGGAGAGCTGGCCTCCATCTCCTGTAGGTCTAGTCAGAGCCTCCTGCATAGTAATGGAAATACCTATTTGTATTGGCACCTGCAGAGGCCAGGGCAGCCTCCACAGCTCCTAATCTATAGAGTTTCCAACCAGTTCTCTGGGGTGCCAGACAGGTTCAGTGGCAGTGGGTCAGGCACAGATTTCACACTGAAAATCAGCCAGGTGGAGGCTGAGGATGTCAGGGTTTATTACTGCATGCAAGCTTTACAAACTCCTCCCACATTGATACAGCCCTTAACAGTAACCTCCCTGTTTGGATGGCCCAGCTGCCCACATGTACTGCTTGTCTGGGGAGCAGCTCAGCAGAGTCTCTGAGTCTGCAGAGAGGAGGCTGTTGGAGAACTCAGGGCAGAGCTCGCTGCTGAGGACTCTGGCCCATGACAGCCTCAGCTGCACCTCAGTCTCATATGGGAACACTCCATCAGCTGTCACAGCCTGGGGATGGCATCAGCAGTAGAACTATTCAGATGGTTCAAGTGCCCTGGAAGCAAACAGCTCTGATGAAGGGAGAGTGAATGAAAGTTCATCCTCACCCTCCCTGTCTGGCCCACATGTGTCAAGTACTTTTAGTAGGCAGAACAACCAGACAATTGAAGCAAGTTAGTGTTACCTCTAGTGGAATATGTGTTGGAAATAAACAGTTTGAAATTGGGTTTATTCAAATTAATACGTGGTATTATGGGAAAAGTATTATTTTCTCACTTTCTGAATGTACTATCTCTTTTATCACTTAACTAAACTGCCCTTTTCACTAACATGTTCGAGAATGCATTCTATGCAAGCTGCCCTCAGGGGAGTATGGCTAAGAATAGTCAGTAAATATGTTTGATTGACTATTCATAGACTTTGTAAATCCATTGCATATATAAAATCTTCATGCCAAACATCTTAAATTTGATTCAATTACCATTTGCCCAGTGAAAAGGAAGTTCTTGCAATTACAAAAGTGAACTCTGAAAATAAAAAAGCATAAACTGGAAGATGGAGAACATAAAGTTACTTCATTTGCTACAAGATAAATGCAGAATGAATACAATATGTCAGTAATTAGGCTGTTGTTGTATTTCCCTGATGTGAATTGTAGGATATCAGGCCTGTCACCTTATTCAATTACGGAAAAGCCTTTCAAGTGTGGACACTTGTTACTTACAGGAGTATCTGGAATGATCTATGGTAGAGAAGCTACTACAAATCACATTAAAAAAGAAAAAGGAGGCTGTTTTTGATGATGGGTGACTAGATGTAGCCAGGAAGAGCTGCTCTAACTGAGAGAAACCAGACCGTCAAGTGGACCAGCGCACTCCAGACAGATCTTTGGGAAGAAGACTTTTAAAGTGGAAATAGGGAGGACACATCCTGGGCTGGAAGGGCAGGAAGCTGGGAATTCTGTGTGGGGTTTCTGAATACCAAGACTCCTTCCTGGCTCTTAGTGGCCCCTAGGGAAGGGGTAAGTGAAACAGGCATGGAACCTCCCCAACTTGCCACAGAACTCCATAATCCTAGCTCTGAAAAAACCTATGACCCTCACAGACATTTGAGTTGGCTGTAGAACTGCCTGTAGACTGGGCAGAGAGAGAACTTCAGTGCTGCATACAGCACAGGGGGTTTGGAGTGGGAGAGGCTGCAGTGGAGCATGGCCATGGGCACCAGCCCCCCAAGGCTCACAATATTCCTCTAGGCGGCTTTAGCGTCTGTGAGCTGTGGGACCTGGAGAAAGCCAGGTTGTCTTGCCTGAAGAAGGGGCCAGTCTGATCTGAAAGCCTCTCTGTCTCCCTGTGTCAATTTCTGACTGCATCTGCTTGTGTGCAGCCTCAGTTGTCCCACCAAAATACTTGTCAGCAGCCACCACCATCGCTCTTTTGCCAGTAGCTCTTGCCTTCCCATTGGACTACTTTTGCAGATGGACCACCACTGGTGTGCATCCACTCACAGCGTTCCCCCACCTGAATGTAGTCACCCTCAGCCTACCGTGATCGCCACTCTGAAAGGCATGTGTGACTGGACTTCCACTGCCCTGTTGGTGTGCACTTGTACATGGCCTCCCACCGCCACACAGCTGATGCACACTCATCATTGGCACCCACCACAGTACACTTCCTCGCAGCCCCCCTGACACCTTGCCACAGCACTTTTGCCAGCAGCTCCCACTGAGGTGTTGTTGCCAGCAGACTGAGAACATCTCAGATGTCCAAAACAGCAGGTGCTTTACCTCAAGGAGTCAGAGAAGAAAGCTGTGGGCCTCGTCCCAGCCCCCTTGGGTTAGAGCACACAGCACAGGAGTACTTGAGTTGAGGCTTGTCCCCCTGAAAGTATCTAGAAAGGTAGCCAATCAACTAAACCCAACTATTACCACAAGCAAACCTCAAGAACATAAAAGGATATAAAAGCAAAAAGCCCCATCCAAGTAACAGTAACTTCAAGTTTAAAGGAAGGTAGGCCCACACAGATGAGAAGGAACAGTGCAAGAATACTGGCAACTCCAAAAGCCAGAATGTCTTCTTACTTCCAAACAACTGCACTAGATCCCCATCAATAGTTCTTAACCAGATTGAAATGGCTGAAATGATAGACATAGAAGTCAAAATCTTGGCAGTAAGGAAACTTAATAAGATACAAGAGAAGGTTAAAATTCAATCCAAGGAAAGCAATATAATGAAGCAAGAGTTGAAAGATGACATAGCCGTACTAGGAAGAACCAAAATTAATTTCTGGAAATGAAAAATGTATTGTAGAATTTCATAATGCATTTGGAAACATTAATGATAGAATGCACTAAGCTGAGGAAAGAATCTCATTGCTCAAAGACTGCACCTTTGAATCAATGAGGGAGACAAAAATGAAGAAAGGATAAAAACTGAACAAAACTTCTGAGAAGTATGGAGTTACGCATAGAGATCAACTCTATGGCTCACTGGCATTCCTTAAAGAGATGGAGAGAGAACAAATAATTTGGAGAACATATTTGACAATATTGTCAACACAAATTTCCTCAACTTCGCCAAAGAGGTTGATATGCAAATACAGGAAACACAGAGAACCCTGTGGGATGTTATAAAAGCTGACTATCCACAAGACTCATAGTCATCAGATTCTCCAAGGTCAATGCAATAGAAAAAAATCTTAAAAGCAGCTAGAAAGAAAGGGTAGGCCATGTACAAAGGGAACTTCATCAAGCTGACAGTGGACCTCTCAGCAGAAACCTTACAAGCCAGAAGATACGGGGGCATATATAAAGCATCCTTAAAGAAAAGAAATTCTAATCAAAAATGTTATATTCAGCCAAACTAAACTTAATAAATGAAGGTTTTAAAGATCCTTTTCATATAAGCAAATACTAAGGAAATATGTTAACACCAGACATGCCTTACAAGAGGTTATTAAGGGAGTGCTAAACATGCAAAGACCTGTCACCACATAAACACGCTTATGTATATAGAACACTGACACTATAAAGCAACTATACAATCAGATCTACCAAACAACCAGCTAACAACACGATGACAGGATGAAACCTTCACATATCAATATTGACCTTGAATGTAAATGGGCTAAATGCCCCACTTAAAAGATATAGAGTAGAAGATTAGATTGAATAAAGAAGCATGACCCCAAACTATCATGAAGATAGATAGTTTGCTATCTTCAAGAGACCAAACTTACATGCAATGACACTCATATGTTCTAAGTAATGGATTGAAGAACTATCTACCAAGCAAGTGGAACACAAAATAGAGCAGTGGTAGCTATTTTTATTTCAGACAAAACAGACATTAAACCAATAACAATGAAAAGGGACAAAAAGGGCATGACATAATGATAATGAGTTCAGTTCAACAAGAATACTTAACTATCCTAAATATATAGGCACCCAACACTGGAGAATCCTGATTCATGAAACAAGTTCCTAGAGCCCTATGAAGAAACTTAGATAACCACATAATAATAGTGGGAGCCTTCAACATGCCACTGACAGTTTTAAGCCATCAAGGCTGAAAACTAAGAAACGTATTGAGGACATAAACTGAATGCTTGACCCAACGGACCTAACAGACATCTACAGAATACTTCACTCAGTGACAACAGAATATAGAATTCTTTTCATCTGCACACAGCGCATAGTCTAACATCAATCACATGCTCAGCCATAAAGCAATTCTTAATAAATTCAAGAAACACTTTAAACCTAACAACCGCTCTCTCAGACCACAGCGCAATAAAAATAGAAATCAATATAAAGAAGATCTCTCAGAACCAAACAATTACATGGACATTATGCTCCTGAGTCACTTTTGAGTAAAGAATGTAATTAAGGCAATAATTTTTTTTTAAAAAAATGTGAAATAAATAAAAACAAAGCAAAAGACGACAGAGTCTCTTGAACACAGCTAAAGCAGGGCTAACAGGACAATTTATAGTGTTAAACACCTACCTCAAGTACTTAGAAAAAACTCAACCTAAGAACCTAACAGCACACCTAGAAAAACCAGAAAAACAACAGTAAACCAATCCCAAAGCTAACAGAATTAAAAAAAATTCAGATCTAAGCTGAATGAAATTGAGACACAAAAATCCATGTAAAACAACAACAAAAACAAATATTGGCTCTTTGAAAGAATAAACAAGATTGATAGATTTTTTGTTAGATTAGACCAGAGTCCTCGAATTAAGAAACATAACACACTCAGCGTGTTATTTAAAAAACTAATTAATACATGTACTATGAAACTTAGATGTTATTACATAATGCAGGGAGAGAAAAGAAACTGCAAGCAGCAAGAGCAGGAGCTAAGCAATGCTATAGTTGTCTTTAGCTCTCATGTGATTGACAGCATCTATGTGATTGACATGGACCTTGAGTTTCTGAGTTTAATGTGATTCAGGGGATACAGCTTAAACCCACTCAAAGTGGTGAGACATTAAAATAACATGTTTAAAAAAAAACACAAAAATACAACCTACATATTTCTGACATTTCAAGCGGATATAGTCTCAAAACAAAATGGTCAAAAATAAATGATTCCAAAAACTGAAAGAGGATACAAGGGGAATCAGAAGATAATGAAGTTGGCTGTTACAAAGAATCTTCAACATACGGCAGACCAAATGTGACAAGGTTTCTCTGTCTGTGCCATGTCAGTGCAGAGGCAGGCAGGTGGCTTCTGTGGTATCGGTGGCTCTGCTCCATGAGGTCACTCAGGCGGGCAGGAGGCACAACCACCCTCAGCACATAGCTTCCCTCCTTCCTCACAGTCACTGCCCCCATGTCCATTCCTCGGCAGCATGAACTGGAACTGAGTGAAGAGAAATGTTTTCTCCTTAAAGATTGAACA